TTTTAGATAGAATATAATTGAATAAATTGGTAGGGAGATAACAAGAAAATATTTAATACCATTTTTGCATTAGCCACTGCTAAAAAGGTTGACTAAGATGAAGCAACTGAGTCATATTATTCTAATTTCTCTTTGTCCCAGCATTATAGGGCTATACATGAAAAAGCAACGTCATAAATCTGGGCCTTGATAGCATTTTGCCACTGATTCTCGTGTCATCGTTATAAAGAATCTAGGGAAATATGATTCAGATGTAGTTGCCATTGGGTGGCCGTGATGCTGGTTAGAAAACTACTCACAGAATACTTATGAAGAACTCACAGCAAACCAGAAGGCAGAGTCCTGAAGGGAATGCCCTGATTCTGGCACTAGTCAACATTTTCACTAATCATGCCATGGATGACACAACCCCATGTGCACATCACACCTTTGCAGGGGAAGAGGTCTGGCTTACAATTCAAAGCAACCTTGAGAAACTTGAGAACTGACCTGAAAAAATCACGGGATATATTTCAGCTGAGAAAAGCACGAGGTTTTACACCTTAGCACAAAACTAAGACAAAACCAGTTATTGGCAGTTCTGTGGGTGGTGATTTGTAGTTGGCAAAAGGGTAAACCTCATCCAAAACTCATTCCAAAGTATGTATACAGGAGAAAACAGTGTAAACCTTACACTAGTGCTTGTTGCTGAGACCATAGGTGGCTGAATGCATTTAGTAGTATATAAATAGTCTGGACACAAAATTTAGGAAGTTATTAACCAGCTGCAGAGGATCCAAAGGAAAGAAAAACAGGCCAAAAGGACAGACAGAAATCACTGTCTTAAAGGATAAATTGCTCATTTATATATATATGTATATATATATGTGTCAGGAAGGAGTATATTTATTCTACCTCGGGACAAATGGCTGGATTAGCCAAGTTCTTGGGGTTCTCTCCAGTCCTACTTTGTAACAGTATATAATATACTGCTACAACCTTGAGACTTTAACTTAATCTCTCCCCTTTACTGAAACTGTCTTAAAAATTGGCAAGAAAATTAAATGCTTTTGATAGATCATGACTACTTTTGCTATGTATGAAGTGTCAAAATTACTGCTCACAGAACCTACTCAAAATTACAGTAGTTATTTTCATAATGCTTGAATTCTTATCATCAGTATTTCATGCTTATGAGTGGCTTTGATAAAAATGGAAATTAAATATACTAAAATTGGCTTTTTTATTTACAAAATAGCACATGCTTCCTGTTAATGTATGCCAGTATTTCTACTAACAGAGGAACTTAGATGTTTAAAGTATTTGCTGCTTGAGTAGGAATAGCTAATTCATTTGGTGGCAAACTTAACTTCCCCTCTAACTACTTTTTATGCAAGTATCAACAGTTCTTCATGTTTGCTTTTATATCTCTTCTCTTTTCTTAGAGTTTGCTCTAATTTTAGACATATATAATTGATCGCTGTATTTCAGATGTATCACAAATAAAACAGTGAAATAATTCAGCCTAGATTTTCTCACAACACACATTGAGTCAACTTTTTACCAGCCCAGAATTGTTGCACAAACATAGTATGGAACAAACACGTACAAAACACGATCTTATTTTCAGATGTTTTTGTCAGTGCATTCAACAAAACTGTCTGCAGAACTCTGAAAAAAAACCAACAACAATATGGGTGGGTGGTTGCCCGAAAGCAGTTCTGCTCTTGTCATCCCTAAGTGGATTAATCCATGTTATGAGGTAAAACATTTTCCCTCTTCCTTCAATATGATCACCGCATCCTGCAGCAGTAACTCTAAAATTAAGCTAAGCTGCTCTCTTCACTAATTTAGTAACTTTAAACACTTAAAATATTTTTTCTCTGATTATTAACATGTACGTTGGCTTCCAATCCTGAAAATGAATGGGGCAAATTCTGACTTGACCTTCTCTTCAACACAAAAATCATATGATAATAAGACAGTAACTACCTCAGTGGAATTACTCTGACCATGATGGCATGATAAGCCTGCAGAGCTGACTACACAAATTAGACACAATAACCGGAGGGAGGTCTAACTTTCAGCTGAGAAACACTGCATTAGCCCTTGGATCCACGAGCAGTACCTGTTTTTATAGTAGCTAAGGATTTGATCCTAAGGATTTTCTTCAAGGATATAGAATTGCCCTACAAGCAATAATGAGTATTTCTATGCAGTTTAAATACCGAAAGATCTCACAGCACATTGCCAAAGTTAATTTGTATCCACAGAGTGGGCTGGTGCCACGGGCTAGTGTCATATTCATCTCAGAAAAATGGAACTATCTGAGGTAAAAGATCAAGGAAGTAACATTTCCAAGATGAGTCAGGTACATAAATACAAGGTCAAATCTCAATCCTGCTATCTCACCCACGAACCTATACTCTGTCTTTATAGAGATAGATTCTGAAGAAGGTGTGATTAATAATACATGACTGTTTCCTGCATAAGAGAAATGAGATTTGCTAGTTAAGAGGTAGCTTTTGTTACAAGTGGCATACACACATCACATCTGGTTTTATATGTTGTGATTACAACAGGAAAAAAAAAAAAGGCACTAGTTCCCTGTTGGAACAGTGAGAGATGTGACATAGAAAAAATTACAATACTATTGACAAAGCAACAAGAATCAAGAGTGCTGTTATGCAGAACTAGTATGGAGCTAGATATGTATAAATAAAATTGAATTATCATAGTTGAAATGCCCAAGAAAAAGAACTCAAGGAGAAAAAAGGTTACTCCGCAATCCTGCCCAACCACTTCTGGAACACAGTCATTCCTGGTGTCAGCACTGCATGGAACAGCCTTCCAACAGCACAGAAATCTGCTGCGCAACACAAAATAGCACAAACTCTGTCTAAGCCTTACAATCTATCTTCCCTACACAGACTCTTCATATTGCTAAACAGGTTCTAGGTATAAATCTTCGAATATCAATATCAAATAGCAGTCCAAATAAAGAGGCTTTAAATCATTGTTCTTTTATTTGCTGCAGCAGCAAAAGGATTTGTTCAAACATCTGTTAAAAAAAAGTGTATGCAGGTTCCTGTCAATATGTTGATTTAGGCTGAGTGCGTATGTATATATGTATGTAATTTGGTCAAAGCTGTAATTTTCTATTATTTTGGGAGGTAATGTGCCACTTATGGCCCTGATAGCTCAGAAATTTAGGAAAACTTTTTCCAAGATAGAGAATCAGGCTTTAAACTATTACTTCTTTCTAGATCCCACAAAAAGGAACATTTACAGCAACTGTATTTTTTTATATTACATTTTTATATGTATATATATTATATTATTTCCCTACCTACAACTGTCTTCAGCACTTACTTCTTGCTTTGTGTAGCTGTCTGGAATGTCTTATTTATGGTGCTTTTTTTCAAAAAAAGTGTTTCCTTTAAAAAACTACACTGTTTTATCTGAGAAGCAGAAGACCATGCATGAGAATGTGATCTTTCAAAGCTTTAGTGGGTCTTTTGTTACTACATTTTGATAGTAAATATCTACAAAGTAGTACTTCTATTTTCCCAGTATGAGAAAATCTTCAACTGCATTCATTATGGGATATTTATGAAAATAAGCAAGCACACCCTCTGTACCTGTTCCAAAAAAATTCATGACATTCTGTATGGATAACATTTTGATGGAAAACCCTGCCTTTCTTAACTGCAATACAAATGTTAGCCTTTAATGTGAGGAAAATGTGCTAACATTTACAAAGACTAATTTAAATTGCAAAGGGCAGCTAGTATATTTTAATTGTCCATTAAGTTTATTGGAAAATAAGACGCTATGAGGTGGTCTTTCATTTAGTTATTACATTTCTCACTGTGTTTTAAGAATTAACTGAGTTAATTAACAAATGATATGCACATGTGCAACACAAGTGAACTGCATTCGTTTTGGTTAGTGTTTTTTCATTAGTATTTGGGGTGTTAATAAAGAAAATATTTGTTGAATGTGTTTATTAAAAACCAGATATGAATTAAACCACCATTTTTTGACATAATTCTTTCTATACTTAAAAGTTTGCCTTTTTCCCAACTACTCCTATCATTTATAATTTCCATTATAGGAGTAATACTAGAATCAATCAAGAGTGAGAGATCTATTGCTGCTCTAGGTACTGAGCAAAAAAGTAATGAAGAAGACATTTCTGGCCCCATGGATCTTTCCATGTCAGAAAGCTGTGAATAGAAAACAGAGAGTTTTGCTGAAACATTATTTCAAATGGAAACACAAAGAAAACAAATGTTTGTAAATACTTTGATTTTTGTACTAAGAAAACTCTGTCTCCAAAAATGTTTTCAAGCTCTTCAAAATGTTTTAGTGTAAACAATAAACAAAACTCAGAAACGTAGTGAAGTCCTCATGTTAAACCATGCTACAACAGGAATACCAGATTCCAAACTTCCAGAAATACAGAAATTGTCAAATGCTATAGGAAGTTCTTCATACTTCCTCATGAATTCCCTAGTTAAGCAATAAACTACAGAAGAGGTGCACACATGAACACAGCAGAAAATGTCTGCAACTCACATACTGCAGTGGCTCAGGTTCCAGATATATCCCTTTCTCTTCTATGCACACGAAGTCTCTCATATGCAGAGGTTATTTTTGGTTAACACACACCGCAAGCTTCAGTAAGACCCTTGTAAAAACCATTCCTTATTAAACCAGCCTCCATTAGACCAAGCCAGATTTATGAAACTGTAATCTGTTGGAATTTTGTTCAGTAAGTATAAGTAATTTTCAGTTTAATTGTACATTCACAAAATATTTCCAACTTAATTGCAGTCTTTTTCTGTTTCAGGTCATGTACATCAGCTTTATGTCCTCCACACACTTTCAGAGATCTATTAAGAATCAAAGAAGATTATAGTGATTCACTGGATGACTTTAAACAGCTTCACAGGAACAGTAACAGTAACATTTTCCCTAGCCACCGTGCTTTGTGCATCAACTGATGTGATACTTACCCTGTCAGTCTTCCCTTCAGTCTGGATACTGGTACGACTGCACGCATCGTGGTCTTCTTCAAGGTCAGACACATCTTCAAGCTCCTCAGGTGTCTGCAGAAAAAATGTAGAAATGGGTTATTTTCCTTTATGGTTTGTAACTTTGGTGCTTGTGTCAAGCTAAGATAACATCTGACAAACAAAAACCAGTCCCCTTTCAGCACTTACTAAACTTTGTGTTTAAATGTTGTATTGTTGCTGCAAAACACTTAAAGGACTTATGTGTCTTACAAGAAACCTTTACATGACAAAAATGGGTTTTGAATGTGTCACTTATCAATTCCATCAAGCAGCACAAGTTCCTGCACTACAGAAAAAATTAAGTGGCCATAATTTGCTGGTTTTATACATGGCATTATTTCATATGTCACTATCTGTTCCTCCTACTCACCTAAAGTGCCATTTAATTCTGAGAGTCTGGTAATTTGTGACAAGAGCAATTTTCTATACAATCAAGGTCTTCAGATTTATTTACTCCTTCCCATTTACCAAAAAATATTAAAAGAAAGGGGGTTTATGCAGAATTCTGACATTTTATCATAAATAACATAGTAAGAAAATCACAAGGACCATGACTTTATAAAGGACAATAAATAAAACATTAAAAGCTAAATTTACTTATATTAAAAAAAAAAAAAAACAACACTGCACAATGAAGCACACAAAAACTTCCAGAATTATGAACTATATAAAGCATAATATTGGTTCTTCCAATGCAATAGGGTACTCAAGAAATTTCCCTTTATCAAGTAAATTTTTAAGAATAAAAAATGTATAGAACCAAATTCTACATAAGTGGTGAGAGATCTACTACTGAATGATCTACTATCAGCTTGAGATTGATGTGCCAAGAGAAACATGCCAAGAGCAGGCCTATCAGATAACCTTAACAAAAGACAGAAAGAAACCCTGTCATTACTTTTACCCAATTATCAAACAAGTCAAATATAATTTTTTTTTTTAATCCAGAATTGCTTTATGTTCTCACCTTCATATTTTTACTGTCAAAGTATATACAAAGATCTGTTGTGAGGGGCACTGTAGGGATCTGTCATTTTATTTCTGGGTCCATAGCACAGTCATTATGTTAAATATATTAAACTGAGTAAGTCCACCTCCATGTATTTGTATCATTTGGGAAAGAACTGTGAGGTAACACTGTAAGAAATAAAGAACCCCAAGCTGGTGCACAAGTTGGCAAAAATAAAAGACAGCTAAACTTCCTCAAGAAAACAGGCAACCCATTTTTGGGGTGAAGAAGAGCATGGTGCTACACTGGTGAAGCGGGGAAAGGAACATCTTATTTTCAGGCAAAGACTACCAGTGTTGTGAAGTCTCCATTTTAAACCTGGAATTAGACGTGGTAAGAACTCCACAGTATCCAAAGGCTGTTACCATACAAAACTAGTTTGAAAAATTTGCAGAGTGAAAGCAAAATGAGATTTGGCTGTGGGTGGATATCGCTGCAATTAAAAAAAAATATCACAAACTCACTTGAATTGAAAGACATACAGACACTTATTAGAGGACCAATAACAGTAGGTTATTAAAACAGAGTTTTAAAACTTCAGCTTCTCAGGATTAGACTGACCAGGCCCTAAGGCAGGTAATAGCCTTGGTTCAGCTTCTACGAAAAAAAAGTCACTTTCTTTTACAGCTACACTATACTTGGGTTACTATATATATATATATATATATATATGTAGTCATTCTTAGGTTTTTATAAATTGCAGATTTTATAAGTTACAAATTTTTCCCCCAGTGATCATAAAGTTGAATTCAGGACAGCAGAGCACCATTTCCTCCTGGGTGACCAGATAACTTTGGGAATCTCTGACAATCCCACATTTCCAGTATAGGGTCTCTTTCTTCTGTAAAACATGGAATACAAAATGTTGGGAGAGGGCAGAATGGTTAATCATTTTGAGACAGTCACATTATTTGTAAGTGAATTCTAGGTGATCTTTACACCATTACCACCCCACAACAAACTGCTTATATTTACAAAAAGATTATTTTAGGGGCATTGAGAGAGTTTTGTAGCATTCCATTAATACTATTTTTCTGTGAAGTTGAGCTGTGTAAATACTACCAGCTTCATCATGGAAACCTTAGAAGAAAAGACTCAGCAAAATTACTCTGGTATAAGACACCTATAAACAACAATTTCAGGAAAGCTTTCCAAAGACAAAATCATCATTCTATTAATTTGATCTGGCACTTCCAAAACTGCACATCGTAGAACAGAGATCTCTTTCCAGCTGCACTGGCACAGGGATTCCCTCTCCAACTCTACTCATCTGCAGAATCATGGCTCTAAGTGCAAGTGTGCTCACCTGAACCCTTCCTGCTATACATGTTGTCCGAAAACTTTTTTTTTTTTTTTTAACAATGCATACACTCTTTTCAGGTTGATAAAATTTATTTCTGGCTGGGATGAGAAGTTCCTTGCAGAGAGTCCATTTTTCCAGAGTGCACTTAAATTGAATTCTTGTGGAAACTCTCTTCTCTCCAAAGTCCAGATCTTCCAGGTTATGAATTATTGCTACTACAGAATTCAGAAAAAAACCCCCAAACCTTATTAAAGATTAAGGACAAAAGTTCAAGAAGAAAGAAACTTGATTTACCAAACTTTGAATCACGAACCATAAACTATCATCATTTTCAGATGCAAAGCATCAAAAACTGAAAAAAACCCCACCTCCATAATAATGAGAACAACAGATGTAGTTAATTGTTTTCTCTCCTTGAAAGCTGTTTTATGTAATTTTCATGTTGGTCTTATGATTCATTATTTATTAAATACCTGAGACACACATGCAACTGCTTTTATGAATATCCATTTGCAAACACATAGATATTCAATGGGAGCCCCTGGTGGTGAAGTGGTTAAAGCACAGCGCTGTGAATGCAGAGACCCGGGTTCGAGTCCCAGTCAGGGTCCCTCCCTGGGCAGATGGAGCTCGTTAGCCCGTAAGGCAATCCATCTACGTCCTGAGGACCTCACTGCCACTGTCCAAGCGTGCTTGGCCCCGGCAGATGAACCTCAGGATTAAAGGGTGGGCTCGGTTCTGCGCACACTGTGTCTCACCTAAAAAATCCAATGCGCAGGCTGGAAGGTGTAAAGACCTTCCCCGGTTCTTCGTTCGCGAAGAGACTGGCCATACATACAGATATTCAATAGGAATGTTTGATGATTGTTTGAACAGGTGTGAACTATGAGGGCTTGCGACACAAAACAGGATGTTATCATCAATAATCAGAAATTTTGCCCAGGGAAAATAGCAGAGCTTGAGGACTGCAGTCAAGAATCATGGAAGGAAGCTGAAAGTATTCTTTAGGTTAAGTATTTAGGGCTCTGACCTAAAGTGTAGATAACCTCCCTAAGAGGAGTCTCAGCAACAGCAAGTGACAGCAGAGGAAGAGAGTTGGTTCTTGTAGTCAGTGATAGGATGAATAAAAGACAGCAATTTCACTGTTAAGACATACAAAGTATGCAATTTATAGTAAACATAAGGAAGAACACTGAGGTAAAATGAAATTCTGCACAAGACTCCAGCCAGCAACAACCTACAAACTCATGTGTGTAGCACCATGGTAAACATATGTTTAGATATAAATTTAAACAGGAAAAATGAGAAAAGAGTTTCCAGCAGCCATAGGAGCAGCATTGTTGAACAGCACCCTTAGGGGTGCTGGAAGAGGGGAGAAATTCATTAGAAGATGAAGCCTGAGCAGCCTTCAAACAAGATAAAGTAACAGCTGGCTGCAAGAGCAGAGGTGTGAGAGGGGACAGGATGCCGTCCCGGGCTGTTGGCACAGGGGTGCAAGAGAGATTCCAGTCATTTGTGAAAAGTCTTTGTTGATCCTGACAAAAATGCATCCAAGGATATCCCTACACACACATTTAAGGCTGTAATTACATTACTGCTGCTGACAAGGTACACAAGTTGCACGTATTCCTTTTTCACATTTCAGAGATCCTAATAAATCTGCATTCTCAATGCTTTTGTTACTGAAGGCTCAGGCTGAGGACCCAAAGTCATATTTATAGCCAAGTCTAATACTGATGAATTTTACACACTCTTGGTATTCAACTTCGAGTTGCAACAGCAAGTCATTACTACTGCACCTGGATGATTTCAAGATATGAATTACCTTTTCATCTATGAAATAAAAAACACTCTTTGATGACAAACCTTTTCATTTGTTTTTCTACTAGGATTTAAAAGAGAATAATTAATAAAACAAAGGTCTGGCCTCATTCTTTAGAACTCTGGCAGTTTTTCCAAAATGGTTGCAAATGGGCTTTTTGGCACATTTGCTTTTCAATCCAAGCTTTGTAGAACAGTATGCTGACTAGGTTCCACAGCATTTTTTCCAACACAAAGTTTTTTACGCAAACCCTCCTCAAAAGTGATTATGCAAACAACTCTACCCAGATAATTCGTTTTTAATGTCCACATGCATCCATGACACCATCAATCCTGCAAATAAAGGTCTTCAGCTGTTGGAAAAGAATGCAGAGCCAAGTCTAAAATCTCAAGATATGCAATGTAAATGTGGACAAAGAGGCATCATGAGGTGAGAGGGAGCTATCCACTTTTATCTAACATTCAATTAAATGCTGACTTTTAAAATGTCATTATATGCTCTTATGCTTTATCTTATCTTGGTTTCAACAGCCCCATCAGTCATTGTTTTTTACAAATCAATACTAAAATGCAGAGCAGACTAAAACCTTCAGAGGAGCTGAGTTGATGAGTGAAGTCTTTATTACACTACTGCAAATGCAGTTATTTGTGCTGTGTAAATACCACAGCAGCAACAGAAATGCTTGTATGCACTCCAGGAGGATCATAGTTTGTCTACTTTGTTCTTCACTGAGCACACAGTGGGTTTAAAGAGATTATCTATTCTACTGTGGGCATTTCATCTAATGCCCATATTTTGAAAAATCCATCATGTCAAGCTGCATGTCACTCAGTGTAACAAACTATGATACATGTGTCACAGATGCACAAATATTGTGCTCTGCAATTATTTAGCTAGTG